ATATATATATATACACACACACACACACACACACACATATATATATATATACACACACACATATACATATATATATATATATATATATTAAAGTCAATAAAGAGCACAACAGAAAGAAAAAAATGGATCATATACTGTAATTGCACTAAGGAAACACTTACACTACAATATAATCCAAGTTATTTACATCTAATTATATTTAAACATTTATAGAGGACTAGACCTATCCACATCGGCATTAATCAAGGCAGTATTTATTTAGATGTCTTTCTGTAATTTTGCACACTGTTTAATTATAGAGCCCAGTTTCCCTCTAGGCACATTCGATAGAAAACAAGGATGAAAGCAAGGGAAAGAAAATGGATGAATGCCAATGACTTGTATTTTGTTACAAATGTGACAGTATACAAACACAGCAGATCATGTGACTATCTAATACAAAGCCTTTAATATTCACATCTGCAGTAACGTGTTCATTGTAGATTATTCAGTGCTATTTTTTTTATATTAGGTAGCAATATTATTTTGAAAAACTATTCAAATAGACATAACTTTACACTCTAAAAAAATCCAATCTGGTTACACTCTAAAAAAACGCAGTGTTGTTTCAACCCAACTTTTGGGTTAAGAATTTTATAAAAAAATTTAACCCAATAGGCCTAGTTGGGTTTAGCCCATATTTGACCCAAAGTTTGGTTGAAACAACACTGCGTTTTTTTTTAGAGTGTAACCAGATTGGATAAAACTCAATTAAACAATATTTTCAGTTGTCCTATTAAACATTTTAATATGAAAATAGTTGTAATATTTTAGAATAACTTTAAAATGTGCCTTTTTTAAGCTCTAATGCAATTGTAGTTGTAGTCCAGTCATAGCACACCAGCTCAGTCAATTTGCCCTGCACTTTTAATGAACAAATTAGCTAATAACTCACTATCTGTTATGAACTAAAAGACTCTCATACAGAATTTATGAGGAATTTTCATTTGTGCAATGGAGTTGGCTCATTTACTACACCCAAAAAGAGCGATAAAGGCGATGGATGGATGGATGGATTGATGGATAGATAGATAGATAGATAGATAGATAGATAGATAGATAGATAGATAGATAGATATAGCACCCATCCTGCATGTGCTAAACGAACTAGGAAATTCCCTCAGCCTTGACCTCCAGCTATCACAGCTAGCAGGCAGCTTTTACGCTCGGCTGTTCCATTACTTTGCTCCTTTCTGTGGCATATTAAACAGATTAATAGAACTGCACTCCAGGGAGGGGAAATGCCAGTCAATCTAACCTGCCGACACAAAGGCAAGAAAAGCAGACACGCCCGCAACTCATCCTGAGAGCTGATAAAAGAAAGACAAATGTCACACGAGAGGAAAGTGGAACTCTGTGAATTTTGACTTTCGGCTTCGATTTTGTAAACAGAGGAACAATTAGAATAATTTGCTCACTGAGCAAGTACCAGTGAAGTGGAGACTATTAAAGCTTCCTGCTAAGGCAAGCATCACTATTGCTATTGTTCATACTTGTAAATCATATGCCTACATGTTTAAAAAATTAAGGTTCCTAAAAGAGTGTTTTTGCAGCGACACCCTAGAAGAACCATTTTAGGGTTCCCCAAAGACCATTTCTGTGAACAATTCTTAAAAGAAACATTTTGAAAATATAAAAAAAAAAAAAACTTTTCCACTATAAAGAAATTTTGGTTCCATGGATATTAAATGTTCTTCATTGAATCACTAATGCCAATAAATGTTTATTTTTAAAAGTGTACAGTATATAGCAGAATAAATATAAAAATAGCGAATGGCATATTTCAAGATTAAATTTTTTTTGTCCTGTTCTCAATTAACCAATCCAATTTATTTCTATAACACATTTAAAAACAAGAGACTCTGACCATAGTGCTGTACATAACTAACCAACATATTAACACTATAAAATGATAATTAACAATACTACTGTTAATGACTCATAACCAAGGGCGCTACAGTGCCTTGCGAAAATATTCATACCCCTTCATTTTTTTCACATTTTGTTAAGTTGCTGCCTTGTGCTAAACTGCTTTAAATTACTTTTTTCCCACATCAATCTACAGTTTGTCAACAAGAAAGTTTTAATCATCTAAAATAATGAATTTTAGTGTGATCACCTCTTCCTTTATATATTTTAATAAGTACAAGTCAGAATAAGTATGTTGTTTAATTTTTAGCTACAGTGCCTTGCGAAAATATTCATACCCCTTCATTTTTTTCACATTTTGTTAAGTTGCTGCCTTGTGCTAAACTGCTTTAAATTACTTTTTTCCCACATCAATCTACACTCCATACACCATAATGGTAAAGCAAAAAACAGGTTTTTAACACCTTTGCAAATTTATTAAAAATAAAAAACTTAAATTATTCCATTGCTTAAGTATTCATACCCTTATCTGGGACAGTTGAAATTTAGCTCAGGAGCATTCAAATTGCTTGTAGATGTTACTACACTTCGAGTGAAGTTAACCTGTGGCAAATTCAATTGAATGGGTATGATTTGGAAAGGCACACACATCTTAATAAAAGGTCACAAAGACAACATGTCTTTATTGCATTGTATTCTCTGGCAACACACACAAGAGACAAACAATTTAATTTTTTTATTTTTTTAAGTTAACTATAATAACCCTGGTCTTAGAAACACTAAAATATAGACTTTGAGATGACCGTAAGGGCCTTAGTTCTCCTCCAATAATGTCTCAAAGCACTGAAATCAGTAACAAAATAAATGTAGTGATCTGATTTTATATTACTCAAATTTAATCAAAAAGCACATGAAATCCAACGAAACTATGCTATAATGAAATTTAACAACTGTTCCCACACATGAATACATCTCTGGCTTAAAGCCAAAGAAGGGATGTTCGAGCCACTCTGAGAGGAAACATAAGACAAAAAAGGTTGGGATTCGGTAGTCTAAATGACCTATTGTGATTACTAATATTACAAATCCACAAATCTGTCCATTTAACTATTGGAAAGATTAACAAATTGGCTGTTTGGTGAGACACATCAGCAGATAGTTGTTCCTGTCACAAAGACCTTCAGATCATTCTTCCCTGTAAAAACAATAGAGTGCTTCATTACATTCCATCTCATTTAATATCTCCCTCTGCCCTGCAGCTATGGGTAAAATTAAAGTGAGGTCTAACTGTCTATAGTATTAGCAGCTTAATTGTCCAGTCCTGCTCCCTGCAGTTGTACCAATCGTGCACATTTGATCTTAATTGTAAACCATCTTGGTCCACAACCTGCAGTCAGCATCTCGCCGTGAAGCGTGAAGGGAAACGGAGGTGTGAGATATCTACTTAGTGAGCTTTACGTAAACGCTGCTAGATTTTACTGGTCTAGCATCAGCATCCATGTGTCAATCCCTCATCTTAATTGTAACAGGGAAAACTCAATGCTGGATCACCTACTAATATATATATATATATATATATATGCAGTGCCACCTGCTGAATCAACTTTAGTACTGCTGACTGGATGGAACTTGCTCTATTTCTGCAGTGTATATAGGCTGCTGTGCACAATCAAAATGTAAAAATTTTTACACTATGCATGAAATATCTGGATGACCTCCTACATTTGCTATAATAAGCAATAAATCAGTAGAGCACACTGAAAATTCTGCATCCCATAATACAGGGAACAGTTAGCCATGTAAGCATACTACTTTTTTATTGTTGTACTGTTTAATCCATGCTGTTTCAAATGCTATTTTAACAGCAAGGCAGTAAACAGTACAGTATGCAGTGCTGTATTTACTAGTACACTAGTATTTCTTACTGAACACTGCCTAATAGCATGATCCTTCACAAATCATTCTAATATGCTCATTTGGTGCTCTTTTTCAATTTTTATTTTTTATCATTATCAGTGTTGAAAACAGTTATTATGCTTAATATTTTTTTTGCATGGTAGTGTATACAAAGCCTTACATTAACACCAAAATGTTAAAGTGCATTGTAAGCTCTTTCAATTAATAAATATTTGTAACATTTGCTTCTTTATTATCGCACATATGTGCACTAGCCTCAACAAGCATCTAAAAAGAAGTTGTATATTCCTGTAGCTCAAAAAAATAGAGAATGCTGCTGGCAACACCAAGGTCAAAGGTTTGATTCGCAGGGAATCCGTGAACTGATAAATAGCATACCTTGAATACACCGAGAGTCGCTTTGGCAACTGCCAAATCCATAAATGAAAAAGAGTCAACTGAGTATATAAACCGTCATTACCTACATCTCCAGCTTTTATGGGTATTTTTAAAGCAATATCAATAAACATAAAGATCAATATTTATTCAAAATAAAATTAACATGAACATTTTCATCTTGTGGCAAATGTTCGCAGTGATAAGCACATGAACTAATTAACATGTTTCATGAAGAAGGTGGATAATTAAAGATTACATATCTGTTTATACAAGCATGTTTTCCCTGAGATGATAGAGACCAGGTGTAGCACAGGTCTTGTCTTAAACAAGGTGGTCATAGTCAGTAACTGGTCCAGAATGCATCTACAGCCTCTCTTTATCTGACCAATGAGCCTCTCTCCAGACTCTCAGACTGTTAATTGATGAAGTAATCCAGTCATTAATCACGGTAGGGGGCTAATAAGAGACGCCGGAGTAAATAATGCTGCTGCCTTGTTGTTGTTGCCATCATCATCATCAGCTTCCTGTGCGTGTGGACAGAAGAGAGTGCAGCAGAATGCCTGCGAGAAGGAAAAAAATAGCAACACATTAAAAGAGGGCAAATTAGCTGCATAAAAATTTATTATGAATTGGTTTATAAAAATGGAATCCTGAAACCTGTTCAACTGTTTAAAATAAACCTTATTTGTATTATTTTTTAATCAAAAACTACTTCATATCAGCTACACATAACAACACTTGCCTCTAAGAGTGAAAAAATATATCTTAAAATGTAAATTCTTTAATTTACGTTTACCCTGAGCTGTGGTTAATTCCTAGAAAGTACATTTTAAGGTTACCAGCAATTCAGAACAATATTTACTAATATAAACATACCTGTGGCTACAGACACATTGAGTGATTCTACCCCAGGGTGCAGGTTTCTGCGTGGAGGAATGGTGAGCAGGACGTCACACATCTGATGCAGTTCTGGAGACAGACCGTCACCCTCTCCACCTGATAGCACACACACAGACAGACCACCGTAACACAAAGAGAGCAAAACTATTATCGGTCCAAATACATTTAAACACAAACTTGCTGTTACCCATTAACAGGAGTGTAGGTCTGGACGTCTTGAAATCTGAACATGACACAACAGCGGATTCAGGGCTGCATTGCTCTAACCCAACAGTGCCAACTACTTGCCAACCTTCTTCTGCTTTCGCCTATAATGTCAAGACAAATTTGGTTATAGCTATTACACAACGGAAATCCTGACGATTGAGTATGAGATGTGTTTCGCGAAAGGACTAGGCAGACGCGGTCTCAACCTCAATGGCTTTCTTTAACTGCCCTCTACAGGCCACAGAAGAGATTTTCCATTCACTATAATTAAAAGGGTTTATTTTATTATGAAAACCTACTGTACATTTCATAAATCAATTAAGTTTCAAAAACAACAAAAGAAGGATGTTCTATTTTGTCTTACTTTTGACAACAATTTACAGAACTATTTTCTATTAATTTCATCTGCATTTCTTTATTTTTCTTCACTAAACAATTTACAGATCTGTGTTTGTTACCATTAAACGTACTTTCATGGGACATCTTTCTGATCCAAATGTGCTTTTCTCAATAATTGTGGTCATATTTATGGCATTTTTGTTTTGCTTTGCAGTAAAAAACAATAATTATTATGTATTTATACAATTAATATTAGTGACATTAATTACCTGGTGGAATTCACTGCAATAACACTTTGAACACGTATTTTGTGTTCATGTATTTGATTAGTTAGCATTGCTTTCCCCCCTCAGGTCAAATTATTTCTCCAATAAATAAATAAATAAATAATAATAAAATAAAGAAAGAAAATGAACCACAATTGTGTTATTTAAATGCCCTCTACTGGCTACAAATGGAAACTTAGGCTGCTTTTACACTGGCATCACTTTTTTTTATTCACATGTGTAAACACAAAAATCTTCACGAGATCTGATTTTTTCGCATCCATTCTGAGCCACTTCCATATTTGGTTTTACATTTTGCCAAGTAAGACATGTTCCTTGATCAACATCTTTTGTTGATCCTGGATCAACATTACGGTCCAAAAATATAGACCTAACCCAATCCCTTCCCCTAAACCTAACCCTACCCATAATTTATTCCTAAAATCAGAGGGAAATTATAGCTGATTAACAAGGGTGTAGAAGCACCTAACCCTGATCTTAAGCCTAAAACAGATATTTCCTGAAAAGTTATGCCTCAATTCTGATTGGTTGATAGGACTGTTGTTCCAGGATCAACAAGGATGTTGATCCAGGAACATGTTGTACTTGGTGAAATCACGCTCACCGTCTGCATATACAGGTATCCAGTTTTTCAGGATTAAAATAAATGTTATGCAGTAAATGTAGCATATAGATATAATTATATAGATTTGTGAAGTTCACAGTTAAGAGTAAAATGTGAATGTATTTATGTATAGTACCAAAAGTCCAGAGTTTTGCAACCTTAGGGAGCGTGGTGGATTGTAGCGTGATAGAAGACTAGTTAGGCATGCAGGAGCTAAACCATTTAGGGCCTTATAAGTAAGTAGTAATATTTTGTAACTGATACGGAACTTTAAGACATGTTCCTGGATCAACATCTTTTGTTGATCCTGGATCAACATTACTGTCCAAAAATATAGACTAAACCCAATCCCTACCCAATCCCTATTCCCTACCCATAATTTATTCCTAAAATCAGTGTGAAATGATAGCTGATTAACAAGGGTGTAGAACAGGGGTGCCCAAACTCGGTCCTGGGCACACCTGGTGTAGAAGCACCTAACCCTGATTGTAAGCCTAAAACAGACATTTCCTGAAAAGCTATCCCTCAATTCTGATTGGTTAATTGGAATGTTGTTCCAGGATCAACAAGGATGTTAGGATAGGCTACCCGATATGTCAAAACATGTCAATCCCATTGTAATTCCAAGTAAGGTGAAGTGGAGGGATCAACTTCCAGACCTTAATCATATCTTTCAAGTTGCTGTAGCCAAACACCTCCATGACCTCCATCACACCAGCACTGGCTTTACTCACTGTGGGCGTCAGAGGACAGCTAACAAAGACAGCAAATAAACATAAGCACATTTCAATGGTTAATACAAAGTTAAATGTAAAACACATTTTAATTTAATCATAAACAAAATACATGACCAAAGAAACAATGGTCTTTGTTTTAGATCCTATATTCCATTTAACAATGTTATAAAGAATTAAACACAAATGCCTCTTTTAACTCCACCTGTTATGAATGCTGCTGGCAATTCGATCCACTCCCAGGAAATACGCAGACCGCAAAATGGCACCAAGATTCATCGGATCCTGCACTCCATCCAAAACCAGCCATAATGCCTTGTGGTTCTTCACCTCATGAGATGGCATCGGTCTTTCCTCAGTGATAAACCCAAGAGGACTTGCCTGCAGACACAACCCCTGGTGCACCTTACCGCCACACATCTTGTCAAGTGTCTGCTTACTGACTCTCTGTATCTGCACGCCCCGTCTGACGGCCTCCTGACAGACCCTCAAAATCACATCTCTCTGTGGCCCCTCACCGTTCTTCACAAAGAGACGACTCGGCTTCCTCCTACTTTGCGTGAGGGCCAGCAAACATGGGGCCGCACCGAACACAATCTCTAACTGTTTACCTTCATTGGGCTCAGATTCTTTTTGGATACGTCTCAAAAGCCTTCCGGTTTCTGACTCACTGAAATCCTCAAACCTCAGTTTCTGAAGCTCCGATGACGCTTTTCCACTCTGTGTTTTTGTTGATTTGGGATTATCATCTCTGTTAGCAGCATATTTATGCTGTTTAGATACAAATGTCTTTCTGAGTTTACTAGAGGTAAATCTCTCACCTGACTTGTCTCTTGGACAGAAAAGTGCTCTTGTGCAACTATAGGCTGCACGTTGTGTGAAAGGTGTAAAATAGAATTCCTTCAGCCCTACCAAACAACATCTATTCCTAGTTCTGCTGGAGGCTAGGAAGACTTTGAAACATGTTTTCCACGCCTGCATATTTGCCTTTAATAACTTGCTAAGATATGCCTTAATAAACAGCTTAAACCATCTTCAGGTGGTCTGCTGGTTTTTGCAGGCCTAAACCAACCTGGTTTGATGGTTTTAGAACCGTTTTGGGCACTTGTCAAACTGGTCAGGCTTGGCTGACAAGCAAAATCAGCTAAACTCCCGCTAGGAAACAAGATAAGAGCAGCAAGATTCAACGCTGTATGTTGCTTTTAACAGATTATTCATTATTTCTTAAAAAAGGAAAGAATAATCTGCTCTTAGTTAGTGCTGCCGCTGCTGCTAACCAAAAGGCCACGGTGCCCTTCAGGATTAAAATACCAGCAACACTGTGTGCACATTAAATAAAGCAGAATTTTCTGTCAAGAACCGTCCTCAGGCATTTCTAATCCACTATATTCGTTGGTCAATAACAAACACAAACATGTGGAACAGCTTTCGGTTCATAGGCAGTGTTCAACGCGTCGCGGATGTAAAGCAGGGAGTGTGTTTACTATCACTTCCGCTCCCAGATCAGCTGTAGTCATCGCCCGCGTTTCTATGGACTGAGTCAGAGAGCAGCTCTGGCTGATTTGAGAACAGCGTCTTTATATCCGCACCGAGCATGCGCATAATTAACTTCCGGCTGCTTCCGTTAGTGTGTTACTATGCAACGAGACGCTCAGATGTGTCGCGTTAACTTCCTACCGGAGTATTCCATTAAGAAGTAAATAATTTAAAACTGTTTATCCTTGCTCATGCTTGGTGTGAGTTTTTTAATAGTCAACCGATGCAAATGATACACTACAGCTAAATACTTCTATCTTTTGAGGCCGAGTGTCAGATATGGCCGACGGTTGGTGCACTGACACCGGAGAATCGGTTTACCGTTCCCGGGATGCGGTTAAAAACTTACGAATACGGTAAGTGACGTCGCCTGAGTGTGCTTGACATCTAAAATAAAAGTATACACACTATTAAATGCACCAAATGTCTTTACCATATCTAGTACCATGGTGTTCTTAGAAACAACTTGTAGTACAATGTAAATACTATTGTTTATGAATTTCAGTTCCATGATATTGAAGTACTATGGTATGCCCATCTTACACATAAGTGCACCATGAAACTGCCATAGGTCTCTTTACCATGATTCTGAATGATTACCAAATCCATGTACCACTGTATTTACTGTACACGATGCTCCAAGTCACTAAAAATAATACAACTGTAATATGCCCAAACACAACATGTATACAGTAACTGTTTTGTTTCTGTTTCAGAGTGTGCATACAGCGTGTGACCTCCACAGCCGCTCTGTCTCAACATCTCCATCAGCAAGTGCTTTCCCAGCAGGAGAGAGGAGTTATAGAGCTGGACACCTTCAGCTCTCAGACTCAAGCAGCTTCCTGTACGTGAAAAACGCTGATATGAACCTATCACAACAATTCCCTGGAATATGGTGGATAATAATTTTCTCGTTCTCTTTCTAACACAGCCACTGATGCGGAGGAACTGGTGGTTGGTTGGCAAGAGAAGTTCTTCAGTCAGGTAGGCCACTAGTGAGGGCAAAGCTGTGTGTGTGCAACTAAATGAAGGTGACCAGATTTCTGAAATTTCTGAAACCGGGGACATTTCCTATTTAAGTGGTCAAAATATTATTGAAATCTCATTTGTTGTTATTTTTTTTTATTATTATTATGTTAGTTTGATCATTATGATTTTTGGACTGGTTTTAATACAGTTCACCAAAAATCACACTATGTAAATAGTTCATAGTAACCATTGTGAATAGCAAGCAGTACAAAATAATATTATAACAGAATTATGACTTTACAAAAACACATTATATAAGAACATGATAAATAAATATTTTAAACATTTTCTAATTGTACATTGCATAATACTTTTAATTTTTACAAACTGATTATACTGTATACAACAATTACAACTTTTCTTAACTTTTCAAATGGTATGTTATGTTTTGTGCATGGAAATTACTCTTACTATCCTTAATTAGGCTTATTATTTTGGATTTTAGACTCATTTTGAGCACAAAGTATGTGCTTTCTGCAAATGTATTAAACTGCAAATTAAAATTGTCTACAATACAACCCTGCACCCTGGTGAAGCCCTGTAATAAAGCACATACAAACAGTATTTAATTAAACATAAATAGTTAGTATATGTTACTACTTAAAAAAAAAGGTCTCTTTTGATAATTGATGAAGTTTAAGTTAAAGTTAAGTTCTTCATGACTGAAGTGAAAGTGAAAGTGAAGTGACATGTGGCCAGGTATGGTGACCCGTACTTGGAATTAGTGCTCTGCATTTAACCCATCCAAAGATTTTTTTTTATTATTATTATGTTAGTTTGATCATTATGATTTTTGGACTGGTTTTAATACAGTTCACCAAAAATCACACTATGTAAATAGTTCATAGTAACCATTGTGAATAGCAAGCAGTACAAAATAATATTATAACAGAATTATGACTTTACAAAAACACATTATATAAGAACATGATAAATAAATATTTTAAACATTTTCTAATTGTACATTGCATAATACTTTTAATTTTTACAAACTGATTATACTGTATACAACAATTACAACTTTTCTTAACTTTTCAAATGGTATGTTATGTTTTGTGCATGGAAATTACTCTTACTATCCTTAATTAGGCTTATTATTTTGGATTTTAGACTCATTTTGAGCACAAAGTATGTGCTTTCTGCAAATGTATTAAACTGCAAATTAAAATTGTCTACAATACAACCCTGCACCCTGGTGAAGCCCTGTAATAAAGCACATACAAACAGTATTTAATTAAACATAAATAGTTAGTATATGTTACTACTTAAAAAAAAGGTCTCTTTTGATAATTGATGAAGTTTAAGTTAAAGTTGAGTTCTTCATGACTGAAGTGAAAGTGAAAGTGAAGTGACATGTGGCCAGGTATGGTGACCCGTACTTGGAATTAGTGCTCTGCATTTAACCCATCCAAAGTGCACACACACACACCGTGAACACACACCCATAGCAGTGGGCAGCCATTTTTGCTGCGGCGCCCGGGGAGCAGTTGGGGGTTCGGTGCCTTGCTCAAGGGCACCTCAGTCGTGGTATTGAAGGTGGAAGAGAGCGCTGTACATTCACTCACCTCACCTACAATTCCTGCCGGACCTGAGACTTGAACCCGCAACCTTTGGGTTACGAGTCCGACTCTCTAACCATTAGGCCACGACTTCCCCAAAAGTAGCGGCGCATGACCAAGTAATCAGTGTAGCTTGCAGCTGAATTTGTTGGTGAAAATAATCACTACACGATTGCTCCGATAACCAGCTGGCTGTGTTGGTCAGGGTTTTTTTTGCAATGTATTTGTGGGCTGTTTTGAATGTGCTGTAAAACAGAGACATTTCCAGGAAAAGCTCCAGATGGGGACAAAACACCAAAAACTGGGACTGTCCCCGGAAAACGAGCACATCTGGTCACCCTGGTGTATCTGATGAGTTCTGCTTTGTCATTGATATGCAGTATGAAGTGGACCTTTACCAAACAGAGTCAAATTGTCAAACACCACTGGAGCGTCAGTATCACACAGAAATCATGGCAATGGAAAGATCCAAAAGAAGACAAAACCAGCGCATTTTCACCTGCACAGACTTTGATCGCTTTTCCAAATGGGAAGAGGTCAGCTCACTCTACCATTTTCTTTTTTAAATCTGACAAAAACATACCCAGGTCATATTTCACCACAAAATCAAAATAAAGGAAAATAAGAATTTTTTTTTATTTTGAAATTTTGTATAAAGAAAATCAAACATAATTTTAAGACCATTATGGGATAGTCCACCCAAAAATGAAAATTCTGTCATCATTTGCTCACCTCCATGCCATTCCAAACCTGTATGCATTTATTTCTTCTGCTGTACATGAAAAATATATTTTGAAGAATGCTGATAACCAAACAGTTTCAGTTCCCAATGACTTGCACTAATGGAAGTCAATGGGAATGGAATAGGTTTTCCCGCCAAAAGAGAATTTGAGAAATTAAGAATTGTCATGAAAATAATATCACAATACAGAATCGTAACATTTCGAAATTAAGCTTTATTTTCTTTAAGCAAAATATAATTTCTTATTTCTTTATTTAATAAATAATTAATTATTCGGTGTTAGATATGACCCAAACATGGTTTTGAAAGGTTTGGTGAGATTCACCAATGGATGAATAGGCTGCATATGTTTTTAGTTTCAGTTTTCAGAAGTTGTGATTGTATTGACAGCAAGCCCAGAGTCTGCTGATCCCAGCTCAGTCCACACCAACCTTTTTAGCAGAACGCATGGCCAATGTTAGACACAGGAGACAAGAGAGACGTCCTGTGTAAGTACCTAGAAGCCTATATTATAGTTGCCTGTAAGATGGTTTTCTGTAAAGCATTTATCATATCTGAAAAGTTAAGGAGGTTTACCTGTATTTTATTTTATTTTTTTACACAATTTAGAGAGTCTATTGTTCACAAGTCCCGTTTAATCACATGGGAGCCTTCTGAGGAGTTCATAAAGAACAGCCACATCATCAACACACCAGTGCAGACCATGCACATCATGGGAGATCTTGGGCCTTCAGGGAAGTAAGTGTCATGATACTCTACTTTAGCCACTTAAACATATCATACATTACAATTTATTTGACCAGAGCTCCACTTATAATGCAGTTGAAGGTTTTTTACACCAAAAAGGGTATTTTGTAGTTTTATATCACAATTTTCCACTCTATCTTACCCTTAAAATTTAACTGACATTTGAAAATAAGTTTTTTTTTTGTTTGTTTTTTTATGATATGACCCATTTAAAGTAATGTGAAATAACCAGACATGTGACTGTGTTTTACAGGTTGGGCCTGAAAGAGAACGAATATATATTATGCACCATAAAAGCAGATGGTAATGGAGTAATCACAATAAAACCAGACTTTAACAACAACAGAGGAGCCTACAGGCAAGACCTACCACTTCTGTCAATTTCTCTTGTGAATAATATTGGGATGAGTTAATTGTGATTACAGAAGGTGTATTTGACTGTCTTTCACACCAGGCTGGAAACGCAGGGGGAGAAGAGGGAGGTGTGGAGGCTGTATCTGGAGAGCGCCTCATCAGACATTCATGCAGACGAGAAAGAGAGAGAGCAGCGCATGTACAGAGATGTATGTCCCTTTGTCCTTGCTTAGGATTGGTGGTTTCACTGTCTCACTCACTGCCTGCCAACTACATTGGCAGCTACCTTCTAAGGCAGCATCCTAACAGAAACGGAATCTCATAAGGGGTTGAGTTGAAACACTTCTGTGTACAATAATTTAATGTAAAATGTAAAACTGTTCATCATCTGGGCAATGCGTTTTGGGATTGCCATATCTGCAAAGGATAGAAATGAAAGTTTTGGCCAAAACAAGGTGTTGTATGAGGCACAATAAATGTTGCCTTTGCAACTAACTGAGATAAATTAAGCTGAAGTGCTAAAATTGCTAAAATAGCGCCAATAGCCTCGTGGTCAGCGCACCAACATATAGTGTCATTTTGCATCGGTTGTCCCGAGTTCGAGTCTACGCTCATGGACCATTCCCAATCCTTTTAGCTTCTCTCAAGTGGCTACCAGTGAACTACAGGATAAAATATAAAACTCTTTTGTATGTTTTTAAAGCAGTGCATGGGATGGCCCCTGCTTACGTGTCTGAGCTCGTTGCTGTTCGTCAAGCACCTAGGTCTCTAAGATCCAATAATAAGTTATTGCTTACTGTCCCTCGTACTCATTTAAAGTTAAAAGGGGATCAGGCCTTTGCTGTTGCGGGGCCGAAGCTCTGGAATAGTCTTCCTCAGGAACTTAGAGAGATCTCATCTTTAAATGCTTTTAAAGTTGAAGTCAAACACTACTTATTGTCTTTAACCTTTGAGAGGGTGGGCTAGTCTTTGTTGTTAGTAGGATGTGTGTTGTTTTAAGTTGTGTGTTTTAATGAAGTGTTTCTTGATTGTACGGCACTTTGGTCTGCAGGTGCAGTTGTAAAGTGCTATATAAATAAAGTGAATGAATAAAAGTAAATAAGAAAATTACTATAACTGAAAATATAGAAATAAAAGTTTTTACAAAATATGAATAAATACACAATAGTTCACAATTATTATAATACTAATAAATAAATGGTATAATACTATAACACACTATGACATTCTTAGTTAAAAATTTTTTTAACTCTTTTTATCCAAAGCATCTTAAACTGCAATGCCAATGTCCCTGGAGCAATATGGAATTCTTTGGCTGGCCCAAGGCTCACTGGTGGATTGCTGACCCCTTTCTGGTGGAGTCATCATTCTCACACCTTTCTTTTTATTTTATTTTAGCTGTACACACGTCACAAAGATTACCTCAACAGCCTGGTTGGCCAAGACTTTGAAATGGTAAGAATTATCATTCTTATCCAGACTCATGGTCTCAAAAAATCATGATCTCTTCATTTGCGTTCCAAATAAAAAAGGTAACATTTTCATTCTGATTGTCCAAACACTTCCTTTAGCCACCTCCAGGAATACTTCGCCTGATTGTAAATGGAGAGATTGGTGAGTACTAGCAGTTATCCTGTATCATAAGGATTAGCCCAAATTTACTGAGAGCAAAGCAGTATAACATCAGTACATCAAATGCATGCTTAAATTGCACAGTCCCTGCAATATATTTATAATTTTACTGCAAACTGGGTCTCAAAAGTTACTCTGCTCGGATCATAATATGGCAATTTTTCCTTTCAGTTTCTGCTCAGGGCTATGAGTATGACAATCTTTATGTCCATTTCTTCTTGGATTTACCAAATAGTAAGTCAACCTAATCTCAACCACATACAGTGGGAAACATATTTCAAAGGTTAAGTCACACATGTATGCATGGCATTGCATTTGATGACAAAATCAAATCAAGTAGTATTTATTTTACATAAAGATTTTAAAGAAAGCACAAGTACACTTTTTCAAGCAAAGTTTTAAATGGTAAAACAATAGTTATACTGTTCAAAATGAAGACAAAAGTACACATTTTTGTTTTTAAACTAATGAAATGACATTGAGACATTTTAAGCGTGACTTAAGTGGCCAGACTTTAGTCACTGTATTACTGTTTTGTGCAATTTATGTCAGTAATTCATGATATTGAGGTTTTTCCATGTTCTACAGATTGGTCCAGTGTTCCCTTTCACTGTCTGTCTGGTGTGACTCAGACGTGTCGCACACGCAGTGTGGGAAAGGTAAGACGTCATTTTAGTAAACCCCATGACCCGGCTCTGTGTTCATGGAAATGTGGCATGCATGTTCTCTGTTTTATAGGAGGATGTTGCCTTCTTCTCCTATCCATTCAGCTTTGAGACCTTTTTCCATAAGGAAGACGAGTCTGATGGTGAGATCTTTTATTGCCGCAGAATATCTTTAACAAAATAATAGAAAAATACATTATATAGACAACCTCCTGATGATATGCAAATAAAGTACCAGTGAATAAACACAAGAGCTTATAATCTGTGCAGGGTCATTACCCCAGTGGCCAGTGCTATATTTCAAAGTTCTTTCCTTGGATTTTTGGCAGCGCTACAGAACTGAAGGCTATGGCTTCCTGGTCATTCCCTCAACGCCAGGTAGGACAGTCTTTTGTTCTGAAGTATCGCAAAGTGTAATGTAGTGATGTTCATGTCTGATGTTCTCCTGAATCTGTTCTTTTTAATGATGCATTACCAATTCGCAGAGCTTTTTTTTTTCATATTACATTCATATGTAATTACAAAATGAATTTGTAATTACATATGAATTACAAATTCATATGTAATTTCCACACCAATTAGTATATCCCAATTTGTAACCAGTATTTATGATAAATTGTGAAATGGATGATATACTGTAACCAAAAAACACATTTCTTTGAAAATTTCTCTGGTAAAAACATATGCATGGTCAAATTGGGAAACATAACGCTGAAGTTTGGGGTCAGTAAGATTTTCTTTTTAAGAAGAAATTATTGCTTTTATTTAGCAAGGATGTGTTAAATTAATCAAAAGTAATAGTAAAGGCATTTATAATGTTACAAATGATTTCTATTTCTATGTCTGTTCATTATAGATTCCTGAAAAATGCATCATGCTTTCAACTGTAATAATAATAAGACATTTTCTGGAGCAGCAAATCAGGATATTAGTATAATTTCTGAAGGATTATGTGACAGTAGAGCCTGGAGGAATGGCTGCTGAAAATTCAACTGTAAATACATTTTAAAATATATATATATTTTTTTATTATATTTTACAAACATTTTAGAGAAATGGAGTAATGGCTGCTGAAAATTCAGCTATAAATACATTTTGAAATATATTAAAATACATTTTAAAATATATTAAAATAGAAAACTCTTATTTTAAATTGTAATAATATATATATTTTTTAATTCTACTGTATTTTGATCAATTAATGCATAGACAAGCTGGGTCCAACCATAGACAGCCTGGGTCCACTTTATTAATCACAAGGATGTACTTTTGTCACTTGTCATTCCAGTTCAAGATTTTAAACCCACGATATCATTTATATAATGAACTATAGTACATTTTCTATTAAGTTATATTAAGTATATTTGCATCAGCTTGTTCAGTAGTGACTTTATGCTTTCAGGGTATCACAGGATGACTTGCTGCACATGGAGACCCCTCCAGTCCGGCACGGTGGCTGAACTGAGACGGCGATTGAGTCGCTTTGGCTTTCGCACTCAAACCACTGGAAGTGTGACCTTTACTCTTAATTGTATCCAGCATGCCAGGTTGGCCAACACAATCAGTGCATTTTGTGATTGCAGCAGTACTATTTTGCCCCTTTGAGACTATAAGAGCTTGTATTTTATTCAGGGCCTTTATTGATGCCAGCACCCTGAAGAAAAGAAGACAAACTGTTCTGGATCAGCTGGGCGGCCACAGTCAGCAGGGCTCTGTCTATAATGTTCTGGGTAAGACAGGCCTAATTAGCTTCAGGACCTTTATTGCTATTAATTAGAGGTATTTGCTACGGTAATTATTAATATTTAGAGTTAGAGATTTTAACAAAAAACGTAACCCTAAGTATTATACTTCAATAATTATTTCGTCCCACAATGCTTATGTTACTGAGATGTTTGATACCTCAAATCATGCAGTTTGTTGAGGATTTTACTTCACTCATTTTGCCAGGCGAAAATCTTAAGTCTGCTCGCTAAGAAATGTAAATGGCACTATCATTTAAGCATTTAGGGTCAGTGAGATAATTTTTTTAAAGAAGGAAATTAAAGCTTTTTTTTTTTTTATTAAAAGCGACAGTAACAACATTTATAATGTTACAAAATATTTCTATTTGAAATAAATACCGTTCTGTTTATTAAAGTAAAAAATGTATCTTTCTATTCTTAAGCACCAAATCAACATATTAGAATGATTTCTGAAAGATAATGTGACAGCAAAAACTGTAATAATAATGCTGAAAATTCAGCTTTGCCATCACAGGAATAAATTAAATGTTATAGTATATTAAAATAGAAAACAGTTATTTTAAACTGTAATAATTTTTCACAATATTACTGTTTTTACTGTATTTTTAATCAAATAAATGCAGCCTT